ACAATTAGCTGAACATTCTGACTTTGTGAAACATACATCAAATAAGTTAAATCAAATAATTTAAAATAATGGCATTTTCTTAGTAGAGGGGAAAAAATTATAGAATCACTCAAGGTTGAGGAAAAAATTATGGAATCACCTTGTAATTTGCATAACTAACACAAATACCAGCACAGGTCTAAAAAATGCTAATTATTCTGCATGTAAAAGACTGCTTACAGAGTTTAAACTTTGACTTTTTGAAAAGACATTCTCCAATAAGAGAGTTGACAGAACTGTAAGAAATCGGCTGAATAAAATGGGATGTACGTATAGAAAAGCCAAACGAAAACCAGCACAAACACCTAAACAGAAGAATACAAGGTTCCAGTGGGCTGAAGAGAAGCAGTCGTGGAGTGTGGATGATTGGATGAAAGTGATATTCAGTGATGAATCATGAATCTGCATTGAGCAAGGTGATGATGCTGGAACTTTTGCCTGGTGCCGTTCTAATGAAACATATAAAGATGACCGCAGTGAAGAAAACCATCAAATCCCCCCACTCAAGAGTCGTTTATTTGTCGTTTATTTGTCATTTGCACAGTTAATCTGGGTACAGTGGGCACTGAAATAATTGTGATGAGGCTCAGATTTAAACATTGACTGTAAAAAACTTAGTGACATGAACAAACATATATTTAAACATTAAGGCTAAGATGATACTACTAATAATAATAGTTCCTTAGATTTATATAGCATTTTTCAAGGCACTCCAAGCGCTTTGCATTGTATGGGGGGAAACCTCCTCAACCACCACCAGTGTGTAACATCCACCTGGATGATGCGAGGGCAGCCATAGTACACCAGAAATCCCACAACACACCAGCTAATGGTGGAGGGGAGAGCATGAGGTAATGAATTTCAGGGATAAAGATTATTAGGGGGCCATTAAAGATAAGGGCCAATTGGGGAATTTTGCCATTATAGCTCTTTTTTTATGACCAGGACCTCGGTTTAACATATCATCTGAAAGACAGTGCATTTTTACAGTATAGTGTCCCCGTCACTACCATGAGGCATTAGGAGGGAGAGCACCACCTGCTGGTCTCCCTATTACCACATCAGCAATCTTTGTTTTCCCCAAGTGGTCTCCCATCCAAGTACTAGACAGACTCAACCCTACTTAGCTTTGGTGGGAAACCAAGCGAGAGCTGCAGGGTGATATAGCTCTAGCATGATGCTTAATGTGGTATTAGAAGAAATGAATGCAATAGCGTTAGTTTGCTTGACGCTGCTTCCTGCTTGACGCTGCTTCCTGCTTGACGCTGCTTCCTGCTTGACGCTGCTTCCTGCTTGAAGCTGCTTCCTGCTTGACGCTGCTTCCTGCTTGACGCTGCTTCCTGCTTGACGCTGCTTCCTGCTTGACGCTGCTTCCTGCTTGTGCCCCATGCTCCCTGGGATAGGCGCCAGGTTCCCCGTGACCCTGAAGAAGGAATAAGCAGTAGAAGATGGATGCTTACAGATATATTATATGATAACGATATTTTCTTATAACATCATGTCTGTAAGACTTATTCAATTCATACCACAGCAATTTTCATTTATTATATTACAACACTTTTTTATTGAAGTTAATAAGGCAAAATGTAAACTCCTCTTTCCTGATGTGGCAAAAACCTTAAGGTTACAGCTTTACCTCTGACCATTTCAAAGCACTGACACTGGAGACTCCATCCAAAAATCTTACATAAACACCTGTTTATCTGTTTATCTGTTTTTCACCTCAGACAAATTGCCAGAGTGCGTCCCATTGTGAGCCCATAGCTAGAGGTCCAGTGCACAGTATGATGACGTGGTCAAGACACTAACCTCGGCATAGTAACCCTCGTCAAGTTATTAGACAAATAAACGCAGAATGTAACACTAATAACACACTAATTGTCACCTTTGTAAATAGTGCACGGTTAGGAATGGTTTTTTGGAAGTCGGCACCATTTGTGTTGATTCATCTTTTCTCCTGTTTTGGGTTAGCAACGGAGTGAGGGAAGACAATGTATTTTTGTCTTCTTGTCTTCTAGGTTAGCTAGTTTTAGCTATCCAGTCTCTGGGTGTCATTCTAGGAGACAGAGTGTGGTGGTGGACATGGAGGTAGTGGACCTGCCCATAACTCAACTTGGAAAACAACACGCACAAAATAACCCAACAACAATATTAATATAACACTCGTAGGCAAACCACACAGACAGTCGTAAATTCTACGTAATATACTACAGCTTACAAACACAATTATTAGGCAGGCGTGACGTTACAGAGTTTCATAGACCAGAGTGCAGATTATTGACAGACAGATAATCACTCAATTCAATGGTTCGGAAATACACCGCACCAGGGAAGAAAGAAAAACTCTTACCCATGTCTCAGCTATAAGAAAGGATCGCAGTTGATCAGCTTATTCAAAGAGGTAATTAAATGTATACATTCATCATAGGTATTTGACAGCACAGAGACACACAAACAGAAACTACAACCCAGTATTCTCCGTATCCAAGGTGTCTTAATAGCAGTTCATAATATAAGAGAGTACACGATATAAGAGTATAAGAGTATAATTCCCATCATGACCCTTAGGAGGTAAAACACGGGGAGTTGAGTTGGTGCCAAAGAGCTCCATTTTGGTCTCATCTGACCACCAGAGGACAACTGGGTGAAAGTGTTGTGGTCAGATGAGACCAAAATGGAGCTCTTTGGCATCAACTCAACTCGCCATGTTTGGAGGAGGAGAAATGCTGCCTATGACCCAAAGAACACCATCCCCACCGTCACACATGGAGGTGGAAACATTATGCTTTGGGGGTGTTTTTCTGCTAAGGGGACAGGACAACTTCACCGCATAAAAGGGACGATGGACGGAGCCATGTACTGTCAAATCTTGGGTGAGAACCTCCTTCCCTCAGCCAGGGCATTGAAAATTAAAAGTAATTACTAAGTCATTACCAAGTACTAAGTCATGTTTTGCAGAGGGGTCAAATACTTATTTTCCTCATTAAAAAACAAATCAATGTATAACATTTTTGACATGCGTTTTTCTGGATTATTTTGTAGTTATTCTGTCTCTCACTGTTCAAATAAATCTACCATTAAAATTATAGACTGATCATTTCTTTGTTAGTGGGCAGATGTACAAAATCAGCAGGGGGATCAAATACTTTTTCCCTCACTGTATATACACACACACACACATCGCACCCTGTCCAGGGTGGTACCCTGCCCTGTGCCCGATGTTCCCTGGGATTGGCTCCAGGTTCCACACGACCCTGAAGAAGGAGTAAGTGGTAGAAGATGGATGGATGGATATATATACACACATATACACACACAGTTAGGTACTGCAGTACTGCAGTTAGGTACTGACCCAAATTTTTTAATTCAAAGATAAGGAAAATGTTGAGAAAGATGGGGAAATTGATGAGGTGACAACATAAACCCAGTAATAAAAGTGTGCATCAGTTAACCTAGCTTAATTTAAATTTAAATCTTGAATGTAGTTAATTTCTCTAGAAATAGGTTTAATAATTTCTATTACTTTCTTTTAAACTTTCTTTAAAATTTCTTTTCAATTTTCCTATTATTAAACATAAAAAACAGTTCTTCTTAAGCACTGTGTATTTGCTTCAAAAAAAAATATTTTTTCGATATTGTGAGCACACGTCACTTTACTCCTTTTTACAAACAACAATTTTTAATTTCCATCTTTATTTGATGCTAACAAAACAAAAAAAAAAGTCATCATGAATAAAATATTTTATTGCCACCAAAATTCCTGCCAAAGACTATGATAAGTACCAACAAAGGCAAAAATGTGTTTTTATTTGTTCAATTATTATATTTAGATAACAATGTGTAGCATATTTATAATAATTAGATATGTTTTTTAAAAATCTATATCTTCTACATCTACTGTATTTCTATTTCTAAAACCAAAACGGGCGCCCTGTGACTGCTTTATACCTAAACCTTTTCCCCAAATGATTGTAAAGTTTGGATTTTCCATATTAATTTCTTTATTGTTTCACAATTATTTTCTCTGGTCAGTAATAATGTTCTCTGGGCTTCAAAGCTCTGCATATAAAGCATAACATGTATATATAAATCATAATGAGCTAAAGTTAAAATAAAAGAAGAAATATAATAAGCAAAGAATATTTCATTTAAAAATCTACATATTGACGTGTACAGGTACTGACAGTAAAGTAAAGTTTTATCTTTAATTTTAGTAAAATGTTAATCCACTACATCGTACAACAGCAGTGTATGGCTGTTCCACTTGTGACCACCAGAGGGCACAATCTCCTGAGTTTTCACACTGGTTATCCAATCTGCAGATTTTGTGAAACCTTTTCTCTTCTTCTTCATATTAATGCTGGTATTTAAAAGAATATAAAACATTTAAATAAAACAAGGAACGCTGCAACAAATCTGTACTTTAAGACAAATTAGACCCCTTTATATGGTGGGCTGACTGATGGTTACGTCATAGCTCAAATGGAGTGCTAGAACCCTAGCAGGAAGGCCAATCACTCTTCATTCACCATGTCCACCAGGAGACAGATGTAGGATCTCCCCAATGTGTTGGAATCTCTTAATACCGATGCATATGAACACAGACAGGATGCACATATTGAATGAATATAAAATGTGTGAAATGACATGAAATTATACATTTTTGTAGTATTTTTATTATCGATGTACATAAAATATCAGATATATTAAAGATATAAAAACCTTCACTCATATCTGCAGAAACGCTACCAAAATACAGCCAGAGGGAACAGGATGCAGAAGGAATTAAAGGATATAATATAGTCTAATTATTATTACTATATATTATATTATATTATATTATATTATATTATATTATATTATATTATATTATATTATATTATATTATATTATATTATATTATATTATATTATATTATATATATTATATTATATTATATTATATTATAGTGATAGTCCACGGGCAGTGGTGGCTCAGTGGTTAAAGGCTCTGGATTACTGATCCGAAGGTCAGGAGTTCAGGCCCCAGCTCTGCCAATTTTCCACTGTTGAGCCCTTGAGCATGGCCTTTAACCCTCAATCGCTCAGATGTATAAATGAGATAGATGTAAGTCACTCTGGATGAGGATGTCTGCCAAATACAATAAATGTAAATGGAGTGTCACAGAACCAGTGAACAAGGTCATTATACAAAACTAACACAGTTCACTTCAAACACCGAAACATCCGGGGGGGGGGAGAGGAAAAAAAAAAAAAAAAAAAGCCCACCCACCCACTTTTTTTTTTTTTTTTTTTTTTTTTTTTTTTGGTGGTGGGTGCCTTTTTTTTTTGCCCGGGCAGCGCGAAAAAAAAGGACATCCTGGTTTGTTGTTTTCCTTTGGGGCATGTTTTTTTTTTTTTTTTTGAGGGTGGGAGGTTTATTATTATTTTTTTTTTTTTTTTTTTTTCCCTTCCTCCCCTCTTCTTCTTTTCCTTTTTTTTTTTTTTGGGTGGGGGCCTTTTTTTTTTTTTTGCGGGTGGGGGGGGGGAGGGTTGCCTTGCCGGGGGGGTGCAATGGGTACAATCACATACACACTCACACACCCATTCATACACTACGGACACTTTAGACACACCAATTACTCTCTAATATCTAATTGGATCTATTTTCCAAAATATGAACAAATGAATAATTTACAAGGTAAACATGATAACAAGCGCTGTTCGAGTGCCAAGTACACTTTTTAGGGCCTCTCATTGTCCCAGTGCAGACACACACCTCTAACACCTAGTGTTCAGATCATCCATTACACAGGTTCCTACACACTTTTTATGTCCAAGTGCACAGAGCACGTAAATGAGGAAATCGGTTGGAATTTGATGAATAGCAGATTACAAAAATATAAAAACAGTGGAAACAGGAAAAGGGTGTGTGTGTGTGTGTGTGTGTGTGTGTGTGTGTGTGCATGTGTGTGTGTGCGTGTGTCCTGCTTGCACTTTCTTTACTAAATATATTAAACTGCTGATTAATCTGAAACCACCTTTTTCTGTTTCCCTGTAAATAAGTTGATGACTCAGGATATAAAATAAAAAAGTGAAAGTTTACTGGTTATAAATACCCCAACCCCCACCCACTGGTTATAAAAACCCTAACGGCCCCCTTCAGGACACTCGCTCACACTGACACCCAATTGAAGCAGCCACAGAGAGAGAAAACCGGTAAGAATCAAGACATTTCTACTTTTGTGCAGCACTAATAATCTAATTCAAGAGAAAGAAAAATTATATTTTTTAAATAACAGAATGCTGTAATTAAAAAAAGATAAACATTTAAGTTTTAGATTGGTCAGTTGTTCCAACAAAACCATTTACAGTGTATTGTGTAATAAGATTTTGTAATAAGCGTGTAATAAGAGTGACTGTTACTAGCATGAAGTTGATTCTTTTCCATAACAGCGTGTCCTCAAGTGTATTCATTTAACATCACAACAATTTGCCAACAATTATCATTTTCATTTATTAATACATTGTGTGTCATTTTTGCACCTTTTTTCTGTTTATAGTTACATTTATGCTTGTGAAGCAAGTGAGGTCCTGTTCTCACGTGCACTATAGCAGCTACAGACAGTTGTTCCCTCTTTGTGAACGAGGTGTTGCTATAGAAACATATTAGAACAATTGCAGTGATATAAACCTGTGACTTGCAGCTGCGCTACTGTCAGAGCTGCTGTTGATGAGAATTCATCAATACCTTCTGACCAATCACGATGCAGAATTTAGCAGCGCTGAAGTGCAATAAATACTATTTATTTATTTTATTTTATTTATAATACTCAGTTTTGTTGGCCCAGTGACATCAAATAATTTTCTGCTTTGTAGTAACATTGTAGTCGATATGGGAGGTAGCAACAGCAAACAGTGGGTTCTCCTGGCAGCGGGTTCTAAAGGTTGGGAAAACTACAGACATCAGGTGAGAATATTATAACGAGAGGCTTGTTTTTACAAGCTGTTTTAATAAGTTGCTTATAAACAAAATAAATATTTTGTAATATTAGAAAAATATCATGCATTGCACATTCTTTCTTGAGGGAGATGAATGAATGAATGAATGAATGAATGAATGAATGAATGAATGAATGAATGAATCGTCTTGTGATTAAAGTTTGGTACGAACCTAAACTGAGTGTTTCTGTTACAGGCCGACGTGTGCCATGCTTACCAGGTCGCACGCAAGAATGGGATTCCAGAGGAACAGATTGTGGTGATGATGTATGATGATATCGCTGATAATAAAGAGTGAGTATTATAGATTAGAAGTAGAAGTAAAGATTGTCTTATACAGTACATGGTCATTCCGTTGGGTCATGTGAAGGATGATAAACCATGTGAAGGTTGGTAAACCAACCTTCAGAAACCGGTCCTACTCCCACAAACACTGAGAGCAACGTTACATAGCCGCTGTTCCTTATTAAATACACAAGGTTAGTTAATCATCAAGAAGTGACAACCTCTATAAAAGCAGAACTTTTGGCAGTTCTGGAGCACTGTGAGTGTTTACATGACTTCATGCCAAGAAAAAGGACATCGGTTGTGACCTCAGAGATGTAATTGTTGCTGCTCATCAATCTGGGAAGTGCCAGAAGGCCATCTCCAAATCATTTGAAATTCATCATCCTACAGTGAGAAGAAATTTTGTACAAATAGAGAGCCTTCAAGACAGATGCCAATCTTCCCAGTTCAGATAGTTTAATATGCACAGTTATAACGATAACCTCAAGAGCAACATCATGGGACCTACAGGCCTCTGTAAGCACAGTAAATGTTTATTTTCATGATGGCACAATTAGAAAAGCACTGAACAAGTATGGCTTTAGGGAAGGGTGGCTAGGAAAAGAACACAGAGCGGGACTTATGTTTGCAAAATTGCATCTGAACAAACAGGAAAATTTCTTGAACAATATCCTTTAGATTGATGAGACCAAGGTGGAGATGTTTGGTCATCATACACAGCACTGTGGTTGGCAAAAACCAAACACAAACACTTCATAACAACTGTCAAGTATGGTGGGGAGGGATGATGAATTGGGCGTGTTTTGTTAACAGTGGACCTGAGAAACTTAGTCATTGAGACAATTATATATATATTCCACTTTATATCAGAATATTCCTGAGACATATGTGAGACCCTCTGTACAGCAGCTTAAGCTAGGCTGAAATTGGATCATGCAACAGGATAATGATCCCAAGCGCATTAGCAAATCGACACCTGAATGGCTAAAGAAGAAAAAAATCAAGGTGTTGGAATCACTGAGTCAAATTCCAGACCTCAACTCCATTGAGATGCTGTGGTGGGATCTTAAGAGAACTGTGTATAAACAAATGATCTTAAATATGAATGAACTGAAGCAATGCTATAAAGAAGAGTGGGCCAACATTTCTCCAATGTTTCTGTGAGAGACTGATAACCTCCTACAGAACATACTTTATTGTTGCTGAAGGTGGTTCTACGTGTTACTGAATTATAAGGTGTACTTAATGTAATTGGTTTACTTTTTGAGAAAGATACTGACAATTGTTTTTTGTTGTCACTTAAGTCTATTTGTTTGTTTATAGAACTTGGTGAGGACCACACAATTGTATTTTAGGCCCTGATGAATAAAAAACATAAAATTGAAGGAGGGTGCAGGGACGTGCAGATGGGGGCGCTCTTGGGGCTCAAGCCCCTGCCCTTTCGCTAAACGATTTACAAGTGCCCCTCTCAACATTACTTCATAAACAATCATATTACGTAAAAGCGTTTGAATTCAAATGAACACAAGCGCGTGTACATAGCTTTTTTATAAAAAAAACAAAACATTTGGTTCAGTTGGGGAACCTTCAGCTGACGCTACAATTATAAACCAAATGCATCTGCTCCGTTCAGCACGAGCTGCAGAGTCGCAGCACAGAATAATATAGTCCTCTATTTTTTTTTACATTTGAGCCCCTGCCCCTGAGGAACACTCTGCAAGTTCCTGGGAGGGTGTACTTTCTTTTTACCATCACTCTAGCTCTTAAACTAGACATTTTTATTAATTTCTTAACTTCAAATGTATGTAATTTGACCATTCAAAATTGTTTTATCTTATCTCAGTCTACAATATGTAATTATTCCCATCCATCCATCCACTTTCTGTACCTCTTATCCTTACTGGGTCATGGGGAGCCTGGAGCCTATCCCAGGGGTCTTGGGGCACAAGGTGGGGGACACGCTGGACAGGGTGCCAATCCATCACAGGGCACCATCACACACATTCACACACTATGGATATACCCAATCAGCCTACAATACATGTCTTTGGAGTGAAGGGGAGAACCTGGAGAAAACCCCTGAAGGATGGGGAGAACATACAAAATCCGCACACAGAGCAATGGCGGGAATCGAACCCCCAAACCTGGAGGTGTAAGGCACACACGATAACCACTAATCCACCGTGCACCCCTATGTATTTATTTAAGTAGGAAATATAATTAATTAATTCATCTTCAGTAATTACTTTATCCTGGTCAGTGTTACAGAGGATCCTGAGCCAATCTCATTAATTCTGGGCACGAGGTTGGAGAATTCACCCCAGATGGTGCACCAGTCCATCACGTGGCAACATGCATTCACATTCACACATTCATTCGCAGCTGGGGGCAATTTATCTAAGCAGAACCACCTACTGGCATGTTTTTTCACACTGAGAACCTGGAACCAGAGAACCTGGAGGAAGCCCCACATAACCAGTAACTTATAGAACTGGGGACCCTGGGGCTGTGAGGTGGCAATGCTGCCCACCGCATCACTGGGCCACCAGTTATATAATTATATGATGAATAAGTATTCATAAGTAAAAATATGATATTTTTCTGAAGGAACCATGTTAAAGGAAAAATCTTTAATGAACCAGATGGCCCAAATGTTTATACTGGGGTTCAAAAGGACTACACTGGAAAGGTAATGTGTAACACACAACAATGAAATGTTCTGATTATATATTTTGATTTGAGGTTGTTGTTTTTTTGCCATTGTGGAATCTACCATTTGAAATTGTCCATTATCAGGAGGTATCAGCTGAGAACTTTCTGGCTGTACTGCGTGGAGATTCAGAGGCTGTCAAGAAAACAGGAAATAAAAAAGTCCTACAAAGGTACTTACCTCTATCAGGTCCATTTCATTATTATATATTGTTCAGGTTGTTTCAGCCATGAGCTTAACATAAATTTTAAAAAGTCAAAATTAATTATTTTTCCACATCTTTTTAAACTGAAAAAGAAAACTGAGTACTCAATCCCTTTAGATAATGAGTCTTTATTGGTTACATATACAGTAGAGCACAGAGAAATTGTTTTCTTCACATACCCCAGTCTGTCAGGGCACAGGGTCAGCGATGATACGGCGCCCCTGGAGCAGATAGGGTTAAGAGCCTTGCTCAAGGGCCGAACAGTGGTAGCTTGGCAGTACTGGGGCTTGAACCTCCGCCCTTCCGATCAGTAACCCAGACCCTTAACTCTGGGTAGCCACTTAACCATGTAACCCAGAGCCTTAACCGCTTAACTGCCCCTTGTGGCCACCACTGATCTTGTGGCCACCACTGATCTTGTGGCCACCACTGATCTTGTGGCCACCACTGCCCTTGTGGCCACCACTGCCCTTGTGGCCACCACTGATCTTGTGGCCACCACTGATCTTTTGGCCACCACTGAACTTGTGGCCACCATTGCCCTTGTGGCCACCACTGCCCTTGTGGCCACCACTGCCCTTGTGGCCACCACTGCCCTTGTAGTACTTGTTAGAACCATCTGCTACAGATTTAAGTGTGTTTGGGTAAGTTCCTATCAGTTTTGCACAGTGTTTGGGATTTTCACCTGTTCTTCCTGGCAGATATGCTCCAGGTTCTTAAGTTAGAAAATTTCATCCAAACTGATGAAATTCTATTACCTTAGCTTAAATTTCCTTAGGATTCTCTTGTCAGCAATCAGATCATATGACCGGCGGTATGGTTTAGATCATGACCAGTTCCTTCCATTCTCCATACTCTTCTACTCACATCATTCTGGTACAAGTTGATCTTTCTCTCATCTGTCCATAGGATGTTGTTGCAGAATTGTACAGGATTTTTATTAAAAATACGTTTTTGGCAACCTCTACTCTGGTCCTTCTGTTTTTAAGGCTTACCAGTGGTGTACATAAACCTTTTGTATTTACTCTGGTGAAGTCTTTGACACAGACACACCTACCTCCTGGAGGATGTTCTTCATCTGAAGGGGTTTTTTTTCACAAGGGAAAGGATTCTTCTGTCATCCACCACAGTTGTTTTCTGTGGTCTTCTGGGCCGTTTGATGTTCCTTTGCTCACCAGTGCATTCTTTCTTTTCAGGAATGGAACAAATACTTTTATAATAATTTAACTTTGGCCACACCAAATGTTTTTGCTATTTCTCTGATGGGTTTGTTTAGAATTTTCAGCATAATGATGTCTTACTTCACAGGCAGTGGCGGCTCTTTAGACTTGGTACTGAGAGTTAACAACAACAGATCTCAAATGCAAACGCCACCATTGACATCAACTCTAAACCTACTGTCTACCGTGCTAGACAACAAAAATAACAATACACCTGGCTGTATATAATGTGTTTGGACATATAGTGACCTTTATTATTTTCATTATGTTCTCTTTCAGTGGTGAAAATGATTCTGTCTTCATTTACTTATCAGACCATGGAGGTCATGGTGTCTTTTGCTTTCCTCATTCCACAGTAAGTTTAATACATTTTCTTTTTCTGTACATTACTTAGAGTTGAGTGTTTGAAATGAAGATTTAATACAGACCTTATATTTAGCCCGACCTCAAACATAACTACAGACCTAAGCACTATTCAGAATTTACAGGAGAGATACGCAAGCTAGGGTGTATCAGTATTAGTGTATTCAGTAAAACAGTTAAACATTTCATGCTAACACTAATGTGTTGGCTGTAAATACACTCAAGAACCATGGAATGTTATTCAAGAATAATATTTACATTCACAGTTATGGCATTTGACAAATGCCCTTAACCAGAGCTCAAAAACACATCATGCTCACTAGGTCATGGACCATCAGTCTAAAACCCTTGTTGAAGAAACCTGTTGTTTGATGATAGCTAGTGACTCAGCTGTTTGGACAGCCAGGGTAAATTTGTTCCACCACCAAGTTACCAGGACAGAGAAGAGCCTTGTAGAGCAGATAGAGGAGGCCAGTGAAGGAAGCGTAGCAATGGGGACATGTAGGACACTTATCCGAGCACTTGTTTCCCGATACTGTCCCAACTAGTTAGATCAAGTGTGAAAGAACCAGAAGCAACAACCCTTTAGATTCTCAGATCCATACTGTATAATATGGAGCTCATGAAATGTAACGCTCAGCTGTTTTCTGTTACAGCTTCATGCACATGACCTTATTAAGACAATACATACAATGTCAAAGAGCAGCAAATTTTCAAAGGTATCTATTTACATTTGAATACATCCATGTATTTATCATCTATTTTTCTCTATTAATACAGATAATATATTACAGGTTATACCATGGCACTTTTGAATTCTGGATCCTGATTGGTCAGAAGGTGTTCAGAATTTTCTATAACAGCAACTCTGATCAAAAATATTAATGGTTTATATTAATGTGCTCGATCTAACATGTTATCGTTTCTATAGTAACAGCTCGTTCACAGTGACTGGTTTTATTTCATTCCTACTAACCACCAGTGCCGGTAAATGAAACTCTTGACTAAAGGCTCTTGCACAACCACCACATGATTGGCTGATTAAAAATGTAATTACATGTATGAGTAGGTGTACAGGACTTCCTAAACAAGTGGGTGGTGAGTGCCTGTGTATTTGTGTTTAGATTTGTTGTGCTTGCCACGCTCACAATCAGAATTTCCGGTCAATGTTTGCAGATGGCCCTGTATTTGGAAGCGTGTCATTCTGGATCAATGCTGAAGGAGCTGAAGGACCACAACGGTTAGCACAATTTAATGAACTGAAAAGCCATAGTTATGCTAGGTTTAGCTACGTTATTCTCATACTGAATGTCTAAAAGTCCTTAAACACATTCTTTCAGTGTATGCAGTTGCAGCGTGCAGGCCTGATGAAAAAAGCCATGCTTGTTTTAAGGATAAAAAAATAAATGCTTGGCTTTCAGATGTCTTCACCGCTTTCTGGCTACAGCACACCAAGACAGTTAGTGTCATATACGATGAATACACACAGGAAATATATGAAAATATCAATATTTATTTCTTTTTCCCTGTTCTCTTCGTTCTGAAGGTGAAACTTAACACGACATCACTTGGAGATCAGTTTGACTACCTGAAGAAAAAAGTCACAGAGGCTGTGAGAAAACCTCAGACACTATGTAACTATGGTGACATGGTATGTTAAATACAATGAATAAAGCATTTTAAAGCCTTCGTCATATCATGATGGGTGACGGCAAGTTAGTGAATAAAATGAAGTATTACCTTAAAAAAGAATTGAAATCCTTTCCAGGACAGAACATTTTTAAACAATGGAACACAAATACAAATTCTTTACTGGTTTTGTTCTACAGCGAAACAAATGATTTACCGTTGCAAAAGTTGTATGATGAACTGAAAATATTAATCAAGAACAGGGTTTAAATGCGTGCAGTATGTCTGATTAAAAATGTCTATTGTATTCGTTCTTTCTCTACATTATTTAGAACATATGTAAAGTAATGCTGAGTGAATTTCTTGGCGAATCACCCGACTCTGTCAGGGGAGCGTGCTCAGGCCAGCCTATGAACTTCCGAGTGTCTGATGTGGTCGATGCTACAGAAGTTCCACTGCTGATCCAAGAAAACAGGATTAAAAATGAACAGAACTTAATAAAAAGACAGGCCCTGGAAAGACAATATCATGAGCTTAAAAGAGTGAGTACACCACTTTCACTGTACTGTGTTATTTACAGTCCTTATATCTGAACAGAAATATGCAGTTAATATGCTTGTAATGTAATATTTAATAAATACTGTGTTTCTGTTGTTGAAATAGTTCATTCAGTTTTATTTGTATAGAGCAGGGGAGTCCAATCGTATCCGGAAAGGGCCGGTGTGGTGCAGGTTTTCATTCCAGACAAGCAGGAGGCACACCTGATTCCTCCTGTTTAATCAGTTGTTCTTGGCTTTCAGTAAACGCTGGTGTGATTTCTGTTTGGTTGGAATGAAAACCTGCACCACACCGGAACTTTCTGGAAAAGATTGGACTCCCCTGATATAGAGCTTTTAACATAATATTGTCACAAAGCAGCTTTACAGAAATATGGATAAAATGTTTATATGACGGAATTTTTAAATATTTCATATGATGGATGTTTTATTTTATATTTTACATGATGGAATTTTTAGATATTTCATATGACGGAATTGTTTTATTTTATATTTCATATGATG